TAAGTTAGGGACCTTAGATTGTTCGCTCCTTGAGGGTTAGAGACTGATGTGAATGTACAATATATAGAGAAAGAGAGAGAGAGAGAGGGGGGGGGGAGAGAGGGAGAGGAGGGGGAGAGAGAGTTGTGTGCAAAGCGCTGCGTAAATTGATGGCGCTATATAAGTACCTGTAATAATACATAAAATAGGTCCTGGTCAGTTAGTGGTTGCACACAGGAACACAAATTTGCATCACCACATGTGTTATTTGCCAGTTACAGACATTTGGACACTGTGGAAGGGGGGATTACTAAAACTGGAGCACAGTTTTAGTGTCAGCTGTGTCAGTTCAGCTTCTAACTTTTAGCTTGTTCAGTTAATCAGGCCATACACATGTAGATTTTCGGAAGAGAATATTCTTAAGAAAAGTCATACGAAAATTCTTTGAACATTCGATGAATGGACAAATGTCATTCGAAAATTGCCTTTTGCTTTTAACATTTGATTTTAAAAAGAATGTCATTTCTGAACGTTAACCACATACACTGGCTGAAAATTCGTTTGAGCAAAAAAACTTTTGCTTCTTGCCCCTTCAAATTTTCGCATCACAGCTGTCAAAAACAAACATCGATTTGACCCCACTAACGGCTAGAAAATCAAACAAATATTATTGAAACGAAAATCTGTACGTGTATGGCCAGCCTTAGGCTCTGACAATAAAACCTGGAAGCTGGTTACTATGCACACCTGCCCCAGATTTGGTGTGCTCCAATTTTTAGTAAATCACCACCTATAAATTTAAATTTACAGAAAAGTTGTATATAATATATATAATTGGATTTTGTGTTCTATTTTCAAATCTGTCACAATTGGGCTCATGCAGGAATCTTTTATTACATTAACTGCTTTCTTAATTATGAAAAATGTATATATCTACTGTATTTAGCTTTACTTACCTGGTCGAAAATTAGCTTTAATTTCTTTGTCCATCTCTGATTTAGTTTAATTTTGTTACACTCCTGACTTCATAGCCAAGCCCTAGCTGCCATTCCCTAATGCTGAGGAAGACTGCCCCAACAGCAAGTAAAGGCACTCTCATTTGGCAGTGGAATGGACGTTAGTGAATCTTAGCCATGAGTCAGAGAAAGTTGGCATTTAGTAAGTAATGCTAAATAAGAGAGTGACACACATTTGGCTAATGAAGCAAATTGCATTTTGCAGTGTCTTAAAAAAAAATATAAAAGGTGCACTTTAATATGATTTTAAAATATGCAGACAAGCATAGAACACATTAGGTGAAGTGGTCTCAATCTTTCAGGTTTGCTTTGTGATCTCGGTAAATGTGATTGGACAACGGATGGATTTTTTTGCTGCTCTGCACGCTGGTTGGCTGCTCTACATACTTTACCTGCGTCGTCGAAAAACCATTGCGGAGGTCTGGCCGAGATACTGCTGTTTCACTGCTAGCATGATGACTGTCCAATACCTTCTTTGTATTGGCATCCCTCCAGCATTCTGTGCAGGTAACAATACTGACACTACAATTATCCTTTTTATCTGCCTATGTCTGCAAACCATAAAAACAAATTCCTGTTCAAGTTGGTGTCAATTTCGATTAATAATTGAATGCTTCAGCAGAGAGACTACTCCCAAAGGATTTATTCAACTTTATTTCTCTTCAGTTCTAGTAGAATGCACAGCGCATGAATATAATTTTTTTTTGTGGTCTGCATACCCTTCAAGTATTCCTATAACAATATTGGATGTATAGGGCTAATAGAAATATAAGTAGGGTTCAAATATATTGTCAATTACAGTACATTCCTTGTGAGTACAATATTGATCTTTTTATCTTTTAGATTAAATATGGCAGCACTGTATGAATCTTATCACTTTCATTACATTTTCTTGAGGTATTTTGCAAATCTCTCAGAATAATGATATTACAGAAGTGGTATATTTGTTGTTGCAGATTGTGTGTTCACTTTTAGCATCATTTGGTAATAAGAATAAAAATCAGTTTGGGACTTGATTTAGTTGCATGTTTCCTGTGTGTATAATAAAGTAATTCCAACACAACAAACACTTTTCTCCTGCGCTAGGAAAAGACTCAGTAGACCCAATTGGGAGTGTTCTGGAATTTTCTGGAATATGCACTGCTTGCTGCCCTCAACAGACCGGGGTGTTCCAAATACACTGGATGCAAATGGAGAAACAAGAAAAGGGCGCACCGACCTAGTGCATTATCGTTTAAAATATTTATTGAAGAAATAAAGTAAGTATCATACTCACAATAGACATTAAAAACACAGGCATGTCAAACTGAACAAGATGTATGATCCAAACAACATCTGAGTTCATACGATGGAACCCTGGATGACCAACTGGCTAACGCATTTCGAGGACACAACCTCTTCCTCAGAGCCAACACTACAGGAGTCTGCACTTCTCTTTATATAAGTTACTAAATGATAAAAAAGGGCTGTATCAGAGCCACCCGAAGGCGGAGCCGGACATCACATGACCCGTTAGCATCAAAATTGAACAAAAAAAAACAAATAATAGTAATTAAATAATGATTGTGAACTATATTAGAAAAACATAGATGTTCAGTTTGACATGCCTGTGTTTTTATGTCTATTGTGAGTATGATACTTACTTTATTTCTTCAATAAATATTTTAAACGATAATGCACTAGGTCGTGCGCCCTTTTTTTTGTTTCTCCATTTGCATCCAGTATAATAAAGTAATCCACAGCTTTTTATCAATGCACAATAAAAGTGAATTTTTCTTTTGTCCTTTTCACATTAGTACAACGAGCCATCACAACTCCATACCATACAATATTATATGGTACAATATTGGCTGAAAGCAGTATTTTGGAGATTATACAGTCTTATACCTGGGACTATGGTCTGGGCACTTTTCCCATACTTTCCATGTTAACATTTGAGAGTTATTTGTAAATTTTCACTGATAAAACAAATTCCTCACTGGTTCTCTGTAGGGGTCTTCAGGCTCTCTGGCTGTGTCATAATAGCCTTTTATTGCTACAAGATCAGTTTACACAAACTTCAGTTAGAAAGTTTTGTGGTATATGGTCATTCTAGCTGAATTCGTTCAGTTTTTCATGAACATTCACATACAGTCTTCCTTTCACCCTGGTAGCAAACAGTTATTGAAATGTATTAGATCTCATTCTGTGACTGGAAGTAGGGGAGGTAGGTTATACTTCTTGATGTGACGTTATGGTTTACTGTAAAAACCCATCGGCTACTTTTCTCACACAGATTATCCGTGGCGCATATTGCCAGTGAAGCCCAGGTCCAACCTTATCAAGTGGCTTTACCTGCCTGATTTTGCTAAAGCCCCTGATCCAGGATTCCTCTATGTATGTATATCACAGTTGCCACGGATATAAAAAAAAATTCTTGTGAAAAAAATGCGTTTGTTTTGCTTAATGTGACCAGTTTATTGCATTCCAGCATTTTTCCAAAGTATGTTTGAAAATAAAAAGAGATGAAATGCCAGGTGCAGCATAGGTTTTATGATACCTTAGGGTTCTCCCTGAGATTTGCAGGGGTTCCTTGAGCAATAGTGATTGATCTCCCACCACCATAACCACACTATGGGACAGTTTTCTACTAATCGTCAATGTAAAGGGTCCCCAGTAACTATTCTAGGGGGACACCAGAAAAGTTTTTATTTCATTACTGCTGAAAGTTTTTTTTTTTTTTTTTTTAATAAAGCAGGGAGGTGATAAAAATGCTCTGTTCTGCATTTTAAAATGCACTATGCAGGCCACATTCTTTCTGTTATTTAAACTTTCTATAACTTACTCATAATGCTAAAATACCATGAGCTACATATAGATTTATTAAGTTTCAGTAGGGGGTTGCTAGAGACATGAAAATTATTTCACAGGTTCCTCCGAGCTAAATGGTTGAGGCTGCTGCAGCCAGAAAAGTTTACACTCAGAAAAATAATAGAGGGCTGATTCTGAATAGAGGTGGAAATAGCTTGTCACTTGAGTCCCATAATACCCATTTGGGTATTTAAAGAATATGTTGCCCCAACATTTCATATTTCTGATATGTATTTGTTGTACCATGTACTGTACGTATGTTCTGTTCTCTTTGCAATTCTTCCATTGTGTGAAATCCCTGTTGATCCTGCCAGTCCCCGTTTTCCTATTTAAACCTGACAACGCTAGGCATAGAAGCACATCGATCCCAGCGTTGTCGGTTTTCTGGCTGTGCTTGACACTACAGCCTGCCTGTCCTCAAATGATCAGACTTGTGCTGACACGCACTCTTGCACAAATGCTTTTCCTTGCATTTCTATTTTAAACTGAATGGGTTGTTTTACAAGGTAAGGGTTCACATATGCTTTAAGTGGGTGAAACCTCAGTCTTGGGTTGAACAAACCTTTCATGTTACAAAGATGATGTTATATTGTAAGTATATAATTAATACTACACCTTATTTTGTACAGACGATGCTATGCTGCTGCTTTTTGCCTCCCTGCAGTGGCAGGTGTTTGAGGATGAGAACCTGGCTTGTGTCCGCATGTTGGCAGGGGACAACATTGAGATCAGTAAGGATTTGGATCCAGGAGACTTGTGCCAGTATAGCCCTGTTCCCAATTTTCTACATTGTAGGTGAGTCATAGAAATTCCCAGAATGGGCATAGACAGGTAGATATATGCCTGGAAAAGACAATCTGCCTCTATTCAGTACCACTCTGCTAAGAGGTGGAGGAAAGCATTGTAAAGCCCAGAATATGTGCTGCTGCCACTGCCAGGATAATGGCTGAGTGTCCTTGCAATGACAATGACGCATGTGCTGCTTTCATCCACTGCATAGCAGAAGTGCAGAAATCTCACCCCTGAAGATTTTAGTCTAACAGATTTGCTTTCATAGCCCCATACTCTTGTTTTGTTGCTTGCATCACATACCTCTACTCTGTTGAACCCAGGTCTTACCTAGACATGGCAAAAGTGGTGATGTTCAGCTTCCACTTCTGGTTTGTGCTGTGCCTAATCTTCATCACTGGAACAACCCGTATAAACATCCTGTGTATGGGATACCTGATGGCTTGTTTCCATTTCATGCTATTTGGGGGCAGTCTACTGCTGAAACCGGTCCGTCACCTGCTAAAGCTGTGGAACTATCTGATTGTCTATACGGCCTTTGTCATCACCATGAAGAACGTGCTTTCAGTACGTATGCCCAATGTTTTTATGGCATGGTCAGTCAGTAGATGACCTTCTGTTTACAGGAAGCATGTTACTGTATGTATCTAAGTTTGCTCTGCTGCTATGTATTTTTTTAGTGATTTTCATCAAGGAACCTTTCACTATTATTTTTGGTTTACACTAAATGGTGTGGCTTACTGTTCAGCAAATAAACCCCTTTAAAATTTTCCAGGGGAACTTAGCTGTTTAGATGATTTTTAATGCAGCAAACACAAGTCTCTCTTAAATGTCTATAGGAAATGATCAGCTGTATTCAATAAGAGTACAAACGGAGCAGGATGTGCAAATTGAAGTTACCAGGAGCAGCTAGTTTCTGATTATGGATTACTGACTGTTCTTTTATGGGTCTGACTGCATAAATCAGAATTTAATGAAGCACATATTTATTTTGATAATGACACATAAATATATTTTTTTACAAGCAAAGAGACCAAGATGTTATGGTGTAGGTAATTGTAAAAATATGTTCTAGTTAAGTGGGATATCTGACATTTTTGTTCTCTTGTTGGGTCACTTATACTTCCCACTGATACAAAAAAAAAAATCTTTTTCTTTTCCAGATAGGAGCTTGTGTATACCTAGATAAATTGATGAAGAATAACTGCTGGCTCATCCAGACTTTTAGCATGTTCTGCACCATCAAAGGATATGACTTGAGTAGGTTTTTTTGACGTTTTAGAGGGTTAATGATCCATCCACCAGAATAAGTGGGTGTGGGTGTGTGGTGTGTGTGTGTGTGGTCTGTCAACTTCAGATTTTATGGCAATTCCACCTGTGTAAGCTCTTTGGCATAGGCTATGCGCTTGCCTATTGTAGTGTTTTTGCTGTTCTAATCTATCCTGGGGCTTTTCCACTGCTCTCGTTCTCTATAATTTCCATAATAAATCAAAATAACGTACAAATCTTGTCAGGAAAGTGGAACCTCCATACAGTAGCAACAGCAAGTGTGCAGACCTTGGAGCTTAAAGTGATTGTTTCTTTAAAAAAACAAAAACTGCAGTCTCTCTGCCGATTGGAGGTGGGGTGTGTTGCTATATCTATAATAAAAGCTAGACAAGATGAATATGGTTCGGACATACCAGTAAACCTTACGTTCACTATTTACACATCAATGTGTGTTTGAAACATTGTACAACCTTGTTTATGATTGTATTTTTTTTTTGTACCTCTCTCTCTGTACCATAATACCAACTACTGGAAATAAAACAGCTGCATTGAGGTGTAAAGGTAGACATTTTATAATTGCAAAATACCAGAACTTTCACTAGCATGTTCTCAGAGAAATGAAGATGGCCTTTAGATGCTGTAAGTTCTCATCATCTAACAAAACCAACAGATAAGAGTTTGGGTGGATGGATCTTTTAGAATCTTGTGGGGACTGCGTGTTCACCATGATATGTGAAAATGACCTTCTCTACAGATATCCCATCAGATGACATATGCGAACTGCCTGAAAATGAAGCAGGAATTGTATGGGACGCAATCTGTTTTACTTTTCTTCTGATACAGCGCCGTGTGTTCTGCAGCTATTACTTCTTGTATGTGGTGGCAGATCTGAAGGCCTCTAAACTCCTGGCTTCCAGGTATTGCTCAGTTTTTAAGTATCTTTTGTTTCCTGATGTCACTTAACGTGGATTACATACCACCTCAGTGAAGGTCAAATTTTGTGCAAACTAAAAATAGGAGCAGCAGAGTGAGGAGTCACAGCTTAAAAGGTATAAAGTTAATATAAGGGAGACCATATAAACTGCAACAACTTGAAAATGAAGGTAAAATGGTCCAGGTTTGAAGCCGAATTGCAGCAAGCATGTAAGCAGGTTGAACACTGACTGCCTTAGCGGAAGTAGTGGCTGGCCCCGGCTGGGTGGGGAAGGGGTTAAGCTGTTTGTTCCGAGTTCCCGGGCATTTGATTCTTAGCTAGCCTGCCTGTGCTATAAAAAGGGGGAAGGTGGAAGTCTTGGGCCAAAGCAAGCAGTTATAATGACAGGTCTGCAGGAGACCCACATGGCATCAGCAATCTGCTGACTGCTGGTACAATGCTTTCAAGGCTCCTAACACAAAAAATAATAAATGCACTGTTTTTTAACCTTTTGTGGAAAGGTGAACTTATCCTTTAAAAAATTCTGCCAATCTATTCTTTTGTAACCATGGCGGACTGTGCACTGTATGACAGCTCGGATTGGATCAAAGTGCTGCCCCCCTTCTATTGGTCTGTGTATTGCAGTGCAGGGAATTACAGGAGGCTGATGGTCAGGACAAATAAAAACATTTAAGCTTGTTTTAATTTAAACTACAGTTATTTATTCATGCATTCATGTAAAAATTCATGTTACTGTGAAGTATATGAAAAAACTGAAAAGGTGCAATTTCTTTTGGATTGAATACTTAGAGGGGCAGAGCTGTTTGAAGAGAAAATTAAGAAGGTTGTGGCGGTACGTCTGGAAGAAGAGAAGAAATGTTCCCAGGCAATGAAGAAGCAGTGAGTGATTCTGATCACATTACCTGTGTCTGCAGTTTAGGACCTTTTGCTCTTAAGACACATAAGTATGCCACTACCTTGTTTCCATGTGCCCTTGTTCCTGAGCAGTGTTATGTGAAGCAGATCGGTGTAATAAGTATGCTTTACTCTTTGTGGCATGGGGGCATTATCTACAATGGCATAAGGAGGGACTGCGTCGAGGGACTTTTGTTTCCTTCAAGCGAGTTTTGCATTCCTATACATGTCTATGGGATTGCAAAACCAGCTCGAATCCTCATGCACACTGGACGTTTTTTAAAGCGGCTGTTTTTGGCGTTTTTTTTTTCTATAACCAGTAAACCCCCCAGCATGTTATTCTATGTGTCCATGCACACACAGACTGGAATCAATGTTTTTCGGCTGGGACTTTTTTTGGCTGGAAAAAAAAATCCAGGACTAGTGGGTTTATAGAGGAGTTTTTTTAGCTGTAAATCGCTCTAATGCTGAATAATGCGGTAAATGTCGGCAAACCAGCATTTGTGGGCATTTTTTTATTTTACAAAATGTTTTTTTTCTGGTAAAAAAAAAAACCACAGCAAAACGTCAAACACAAATACAAAAATGCTGAAAAACTCACGTTTGTAATGTGACTTTACATAGCTAACATTACCAGTGTTATTAAACCGCCCCGTGTGCATGGAGCCTGAAGGAGGTCAGGAGGAGGTTGACTGAAGGTCAGATGCACCAGTAATCGAATTGTGAATGATCCTGGAACCATTTCAAACCAATACCATCGACACAAGCCCAAACCAATAATAATAGTGTTACAATATAGTTTTTGGATTTACTTAGTAAACCAGTGAATATAGCATCTATAGCTGTACAGGGCAATCAAATTTCATTGGCAGTCATGGGGTTATTGCACTTGCGTGATTCCCTTTGCTTTACAGAGTGCAATGAATAAGGGTGAGCTAATTTTTTTTTTTTTGCACATCTCCTCCATCTTTGTGTATAAATTGATAGGATGGAGCAGATCAAATCCAAGCAGAAGGCAACTGATGAGGCAAAGGCTCGGAAAGGGAGTGCAGCTGACGATACCTCTGAGTCATCAGCAAAGGACAAAGGTGAAAAAAATAGAATATTTTTTCTGGGTGCTAAAAAAATTTAGCTGACTCTAAATGAAAGATAGTTTAGCTCTGATGAATCTGGTGACCATGTAACAAGGTAATAGGGGATGCTTTAGGTCCTGATAGCAGGCCTCAATCTGTCCATCCTATGAACCTTTCTGCTTTCCAGTGATCACGATGCTATTAGGCTACACTTTGTAGGCTTTGAATTATACAGGAGGATATTTAATGGGCTAAAAAGAAGGATTTATGCATGTACAAAGTGAAAAAGGCAGGCAAGCCAGGCTTTACTTATTTCTAGTTCAAGCATAGCGCCTCCCCCAGAAGAGGGTGCTGGGTTTTTGGAGTCCCTTCTGTCCTGTATCTGTGATAATCTGCAGGACAGAAGGGACTTGGGTCTTTTCTGGACCCAAGACTACACTGATATAACTGTAGTCATTTCAGTGGGCTTTATTTAAGAGGCATCAGCCTATAGAAGGAATCAGTGGGTTAAACTAGCAGGGCAAATACAGTTTATGTGACACCAATTATCAATTTAATCTTCAGTGCTGTTGGGTGGCCTTAAAAATTCCCGTATGACGCTACGTAGCAATGAGCAGTCATTCTATTACACATACAAAGATTTGCCCTGCTTTTTGTGTTATGGTCTGCTATGTGTTCTCTGTATTTTGCAGAAGATGTTGATAAAAAAAGATAAAGATGGAAAAAAGAAGTGGTGGCAGCCCTGGGTGACCCACACAACAAGTAAGTTGCACAGACGTAGAGGTATCGCATAATAACAACATGATTTGTCAGTGTTCTTATTTCCTTGATTCCATCCTTCGTGTGGGTGGATAAAGGAAACCAATGATTCTGTGCATTCAGCATCTCACACTTCCTTTTGTGGTTGGTCTAGAAGTGAAAACCTATCTTTTCTGTGAAAAAGCAGACTTCCTTCATTGGCTTTTGTGTACTATTTATATTCTGTAAACTCTCAATAGCAAATCAGCAAAAATAAAAAAACAAGTTTTGTCTGGAGTTCTGCTTTTAAATTACTGAAAAGATTATAGTGATTCTAAAGTCAAAAGCCTTTTTCCTAATGCATTCTCTGCATCAAAGTAAAAAACTTTTCAATGTCAGCAACCCCCATTCCCCCAAATACTTACTCAAATCCGATCTTGATCTAGTGATGTGCCCATCTGCGGCAGTGCTGCTCTCCCCTCTCTCACCGGAGGCTAGGCAACAGCAAGAGCCATTGCCTCCTGCTGCTGTCAATCAAAACACTGTGCAAGGAGCAGTGGGGCTGAGCTGCAGTGTGTATGTCAGTGGATGCACACAGCTCAGCTCGGGAGCAAGCCCGCAGGTATGCTTCCATAGCATGTGGTTTACATTTGGGGGTACACTGTGAAGAGGGGGAGCCTGGAGCACCAGCGGGGGACCCCAGAAGACCAGGTCTGGAGCTGCTGTGTGGAATATCATTGCACAGAACAAGTAAATATAACATGTTTGATATTTAAAAAAATAAATTACAACCACTTTAAGCATTTTTTGAAGTTTTGTGTGGAGTACTGTTTTTAAGTTATTGAAAAGATTAGCTTTTCTCCATGTGTATGGACAATTAGCACTTCAAGAGCTGAATGAAAGATGCCCAGTTTAATTTCCCCCCAAATTTATAGATGGTAAAATGTTAATCTTTTTTTACACCTTTATACAGTATTTGTATACAAAGATTTGCCCAAGCTCTTGAAGTGTTTGACATCTTGTAGGAGGTTTTACTTTCCTATAATGAATCCCTTTGATAATACCAGATTAGTAATCCATCAACTCAGAGACTCTGGCACTGAAAGATTTAACTCACTGTTTTTGATCTGTCAGATAAACACATGTTAACGTCTGATTTTGTTCAGTGGTTCGTAGTGGAAGCTACAGCCTATTTGATACAGACAGTGAGGATGAGGAGGAAGAGACTCGAGAGGAAAAGCGAGAGGAGGAACCCCCTAAAAAGAAAACTGCATTTCAGGTAGAGCATTGCACCACTGTTTCGCAGTTTAAAGCCGTACTCTAGTCAAAACCTTTTCTTTGTTCTTTTCCTATTATTAGTTTTGCACATAGAACATTTGTCAAGTTGCTATAGTCTGATAAACGTTTGAAGTAATTTGACAAGAATAGTTGGATTCAGAGGAGAGCTCAACGGCACCACATCCCAAAATTTATCAAAATGCCAGAAGAAGAAAGGAAGAGATGCAAAGACAAAGAGGAGGAGAATGAACATGGAGAAGAAATTGAACGGGATTTTGAGGGTGCCATAAATTTGAAAAGAGATATAGGCTAAAACTTACAATGTTTATTTTTCAACAGTAAAAAATCTCATATTAAAAGACATGAGTATACCAAACCTAATGGTAATACTTGTTCAGTAATATGTATCAGGTGTAATATTTTTCAACATGTTCCGCCTATTTCAGGCTTCTTCAGGAGATATTAAATATAACACCTACAACAACAAATCCTGGTGATTACACAGTATGTCAACAGAAGAAGTACCCTGAGTGCACAGGAAAACACATTTAGATCAATGCAAGTTACAAGATATACATCATATAAATAACTCAAAAATTATTGAAAGGCAATTTACCAAATATTTTATAGATGACTCAGATGAACAATTGGTATATAGAGCAGTACCCGGACAGAAAAACACCTTAGATGGTTGGTAAAGGGGCTCACAAGCTGGATATAGAGAAATATAAAAACAACTGCCTCTGAAAGGTTCCAATAAAGGCTCAGAAGATTGAAGTGAAAAAATATACCTTTAAGGGATAGTTTGGATACCGCAGATTGAATGCTCAGCATACACCGTTCTTACCATCAGGTTTGATAGCATAGATAGACTGTTTACTGTTGAAAAATAAACATTGTAACTTTTAGCCTATATCTTTTTCATTTATGGCAAAATCCGGTTCAATTTCTTCTCCATGTGAGGAGTTCATTCTCCTCCTCTTTGTCTTTCTTTGTATCTCTATCTTTCTTCTCTTGGCAGCTTGAAGTAATAAACTGTGTAAGGGAGCTTCTATTTTTGTACATCTAAATAATATAGAAAATGTTACTTTTTGTTTCATGTGCCCTCCTTGTATTAAGAATTCTTGTGAGACTTGAGACTCACCGAGTTCTGTGATTGAGGAGGAAAGCGGTTGCTGCCATCTCATCGCCAGTTGGCCAGAAAATCTGCAGAAACTTGGCTGTCCTAACATTATACCTGTATTTGTCAGAGTTATACAGTATGTATTAATATTTTTAAGTGTGGTTACAGATGGCACATCTTCCCCCAAGAATAAGTAGTGATCTGCAGCAGACACAGACACACAATTTCACAGTCTGTGATTTTTCTTCAGTTAGCATACGAAGCCTGGACCACCAGCTCTAAATCTGCTTTAAACCTGCGGAAGAATGATGAGATTACAATCCGCAAGGAGATGGAAAAGCAACAGCCAGAAGGTAAATTATCTTCAACATTGCTGATTAATGGAGTCTGGAACTAAAGGAACAAATTGTCCATATAACCAGTGACATCTGTAAATTTGACATCCCCTCCTGTCTGCTTGCTGTAAGTCAGTAAATCATTTGATATGGAAAGAAGTATCATGATGATAGAGATTGTACCAAATGAAAGTTAAAGAAAAGACAAAATGCCTTCTTTTTCAACTTTTTCTCAGTCAGTGACAAACAGGCAACTATTGGTTTCAGGAAAAGACCACAAATTAGAGCCTATGTATTTTTCACAGTGGTAAAAAAATCAGCAATTACAGCTTCTATGTATTTGTTTTCAATTTGTATTACTGTTTTCACAAAGGGAAGCCAGAGGAATCTCAGCATGAAGAAACAGAGACAGAAAGCCAGGAAGATAATGCAGAAGGGCCGGGTAAGTGATTATAACAACACTGTGGTTTTCTAGTCATATATTTAGGTACACAATGCTGACTTGTTGCTTGCATGTATCTGTATGGCAGAGAATATCATTCAGAGGATTATCAATATTGTCAAGTTCTCCTGGGTCTTCATCCAAGCTCTCGCAGATGACACCATTGAAACCCTCAATGCTTTCTGCAAGGACAGTGTAGACATTGCCACAGTGCTGAAGATGGAACGTTGTATGCTGCAGAGGAACCTGGACAAGGTGGGTCATACTGAATGTTTTATTTGTCCTTTCATCTCAATTTGTTGTAAGTGAATGCAGATGCATATACTTACTGATGCCTAGTTGGCTGCTGTATACAGTGTTCTATGTGTTCAGCAATCAGTATTGATACCAGTAATCAGCATAGAGAAAAGCTCTTTGTGGTGACTTCTAAACATACTATGCCTAGGAATCTCCAGGGCTCAGATAAGGGCAATCTCAGCTACCAACCCTTTTAATAAACCTGTACTTAAAAAATGAAAAAAATAAATAAATCTTATTTATCTATTTCAGGTACCTATATAGCGGTGCCAATTTATGCAGCGCTCTTACTTACATATATATTGTACATTCACATCAGTCCCTAACTCTCAAGGGGTGTACAATCTAAGGTGCCTAACTCACATTCATACATACACATACTAGGGACAATTTAGACAGGATACAATTCACCTACCAGCATGTCTTTTGGAGTGTGGGAGGAAACCTGAGTACTCAGAGGAAACCCACGCAGGCACGGGGAGAACATCTAAATTCCAGGCAGGTGGTGCTGTGGTTGGGATTCGAACCAGCGACCCTAGTACTGCCAGGTGGAAGTGCTAACCAACAAGCCATTGTGCTGCCCAAGTTATTTAATATTCTAATTGTATGATGTGAAGGAATGTTAATTTAGGGGTAAAAACGTACCTGGAAATGTGGTCTGTGTTGATAGAGAAATTCTGATGGAAACTGTTCAGGAGAAGCCTCTTAATGGCTGGCTTTGCCTGAATATCAGTTCACCAAGAGTACACGGCAGAGATCATGTGACCAATGACTTGGTACTGGTCATTTGATTTAGCATTGGACCCTTTTCAGCAAAAGAAAAGTCTACATCATCTAAATCAATGGAATGTTAAAAAAACCTCTTCAAGAGCCTTTTTTTTTTTTCTTTTGTCTTCAGGGTAAAGAAGCCTCACAGGAATGTATAACGGAGTATTATAAGGCCAAGCAGCTATCTCGGACTCACACTTTATCTAGTGAAGAAGGAGAACACAGCAGTCACATTGAAGAGGCGACTATTCCTCCCAAGAGGCTTGAAATCTGTAAGATCCTCAGTGTGGAGTCTCAGCGGTCTCAGGACAGCAATGTATCCAGGTAATCTGACTGTATAGTAATAATCTAGTGTACAGAGAAATAGCAATGGTGGGCATACACACGGGCTAGTTTTGCAAGCATTGCAAAATATTGAAGAATTATTTTTTTTCCAAAGCTCAGTAAAAGGGGGCAAGCAGAAGTGTTAGCTGCTATGTGCCCAACTATGCCTCTCATTCATGAAGCGTAGGCATATCTTTGCATTTCCATTTGTGAACATAAGCAGTCCTCTCACCATGCGCGTTCCCTGGTCAAATGAGGTTCAGCAGGATTGTAATTTTTAATAATCTCCCCAACTTTTGGAAGCCTTAGCATGGGCATAGACTGTAAAATAACTACAACAGTTGCAGCTGATTCAAGCATCATTTGCAAAAATCAGGCCGCTTTGGCCCTTTTGATTAGGACTACCATTAGTTAAGAACGCTGAATATTGCATATGATTTTTTTTCAGATGGTTGGAGACATAGCAGGTGGGGCTAAATCCTGCAGTTGTAGGGAAGAAATAAAATCTGCGTTTATAAAACACTCCTTGACTTTTTTTTGTTTGCATTGTCAGTTGTGTTACAGAGGACTTAGTTCTATCCTATGAAGAACCTTCATACCCCATAGAGAGCCCAAAACGTCGGATTCCTCAGCGCATGCAAGCATTTGATGCCTCTTCTGTGGATAGCTCGGATTCAAGGTAAATTGAGTTTCAGAACTGGAAAGGAGGAAGCTGCATAGGCAGAAAGTAAAAAAAAAAAAAATTAACTTCAGTAGATAGCTGGAGTTACCGTAATTAACATTATGTTCTAAGATTTGTGTTTCACTCATTACTGCAAATTGTATCCTTTGTTACAGAGCACTCCACACTTTCCAGAGGATTATATATTGTTACACAGTACATAAGAAAATAAAGTATGCACTGAGATCAAAACCGAATCACCTAATACACATGAGACAATGCACAACAATGTCACTAAAACTTTCTAAAAACCAGTAAAAATGGTTTTGTTTCCACCATGGCTACAGCATACCCCACATCACACTGGCATTTATTGTTGGATAAAATCACAGGTTAAATCTGTGTATTCAGCCTGTCACAACTGTGTCACTGAAGTTTATGGATCCCAATTGTCATTTTGGTTTAGGAACATTTAACACACAGCTAACATACCAACATTAGCTAGAACTCTGGTGTGACAATTGTTAACTTGAAAACTTCCAATTCGCAGTCCTGAGCACCTTGCAGATGAACTGGCTTTGGATCAGGAAGGTGATGGTGACTATGAAGGGGATGCAGAGATGACTGAGCACACAGGAACAGAGATCCCACCTTCTTACAGCACAGTTATCTGTAAAGAAGACCAGCAGCCTTCAGAAGCTGAGGACTCCTTAAGCAGCAGACCACTTGCAGATGTTCCCCAATGTCTGACTGCTAGTGAACTTCTGCTCAACAAGTAAGGAAGCTTCTCATGAAGTAACTCACACAGTGACTCTTTTTAGGCAGAATTAAGATGATATTTTCTAATTTGTAGCAATGTTTCATTAAATGGAATGCCAGCTTACATAGTGCTGTTTACAAAATGTTCCTGTGGTATCAATTGCAGAGAGATGCAAGCATTTGTAATGAGATTTATTGCTGCAGACATATCACCTTGTACCACCTGGCTTGAGTCTGAACAGCAGTAATGTTCCTGTCTTGTCTGATCATTCTTGAACTCTTCTTCATGAGAGATGTCTAATGGAAATTTCTCAGTATAAGACATATTAAGGGGGAAAGGTGCAGAGTGATATATGTTGCAGCAGGAGACATTCTGAAGAAGTTTCATTGATAGCATGTCTTAAAAAGCAAGAGGCCTAAATAGAATGTGGTCCTGGCTCAGTCCGACTGCCTACAATCTACATAGGACAAACATAGACAGGTCAGAATGGAGGTGAGGGCTTAATTAGTGAATGATGACATGAAAGCCTGAGGAATCGGCAGCCTGAATCTTCAACAAACACATGGGGTGGAAAAGGTTTGGCTATAATACAGATAACATTCTCTCTGAAAATTGATCTAGTTATGTCAGACGTATTCCTCAATGAGTTCAATATGTGTTTCAGAGGTTTGTATGCACAGATGTCTAATGATCTCTCCCCATTGTTGTGTTCCTCCAGGATGTTTTATGATGAGGAGCTGGAAGAGTCAGACAAGTTTTACGAGACTCTCCCTCGTCCACTGCGTCTTAGCTTTGCTCTTTATAACACTATGGTGTCCAAATCCGAAATGCTGTGTTACTTTGTTATCATTCTCAACCACATGGTTTCTGCTTCCATCCTCTCTTTAGTCCTGCCCATCCTCATCTTCCTCTGGGCAATGCTGTCAGTACCCAGGCCTACAAAACGCTTTTGGATGACTGCCATCATCTACACTGAGGTCTGTATCTTGGTCTTCACTATCTGGATACTGTCATCAGTGCTCATGTCTAATGGGTTATTTTTAATTTCTGTACAAAAAATGTTATTTAGATTTAACAGTGAAAAGGAACTTCACTAAAATTAATAATAAAAAAAAAGAAAATGTAACAAAAAAAATCTTGTGACAGTACTGCAGAGTATGATGCATAAAAATATTTCCCAGGCACTGTCAGCTCCTCATTCTTGACTGAATGGCTGTATTGTGCAGGAGTTATTGTAAGTGGTTGTCTTAGAACTACATACACACACTAATATGGGCTTCGAGCAACTGTGTCTTCATCCTGCCTGTTGTGTGCGTGAGGGGTATCTGTAAGCTTTGAATGCAGGGAGTCATCCATACACTGGCTCATTGACAATGCAGTTCCAAAGTGATGTCCCCCTAGGCTTTGGCAGTCCTTACATGGATACCTTTATGATATCTTCCCCTGCCTGAACAATCATAGGAGATCAAGTACCAGCTGGAGTTGTAAAAGACTGGGAGCTCCGACCAAGAGATTTTTCTGTTCATTTTTCAGAAGGTGAATAATCTTTGTTCAGTAGTGAGCACCTGACTGCTAGAGGTACTCATCAACTCCAGGGGTGCAGACTACAGGGGTACTCATCAACTTCAGGGGTGCAGACTCCAGGGGTACTCAACTTCAGGGATGCAGACACCAGGGGTACTTAACTCCAGGGGTGCAGACTCCAGTGGTACTTATCAACTCTGGTGCAGACTCCAGGGGTACTTATCAACTCTAGGGGTGCAGACTCCAGGGGTACTTATCAACTCTAGGGGTGCAGACTCCAGGGGTACTTATCAACTCCAGGGGTGCAGACTCCAGGGGTACTTATCAACTCCTGTTTTTCACAAATCTTCCAAATTGTTCCAAATTTGGGGTGACCAAAAATAAAGTTAATACAGCTATTTCAGATTACCACAGTAAGAGTGGCCATGGGACACATTTTCCATGCCATTGGTGAGCATTGTGTTTTTTCAGAACTCCTCAAGGACCTAAACAAGCTGTCCAGCATTGGTAGGTGCTTGTTATGGCCAATAGATATTTTCCAGCTTGCTGGCTGTCTCATATATGTAGGAATTTTTTGTGTAAAATAATCCATTATTAATTGCACTATAAAAAAAAATTGTAATGAGCTACTGCTCAATCAGAAAGTCTGTAGTGACTGTAATACGTATGGTCACACTGGTCATGAAAACTGGCACAGATGCTGAGATGATAAAAAGGTGTATGTCCACTTTACATTTTAATAATGTCTATTTTCTATTCTGCTAAATTCTTTCTCCTCCAGCTGGTTAAATATTTTTTGAGTACATTTTCTTTCTTGTCTTTCAACTGAATAGATTACAGTTGTCCTCAAGTATTCTTTCCAGTTTGGCTTCTTTCCATGGACTTCCACAGTGTACCGGAGCATGAATGCCGATAAACCATTCCGGTTACCCAACATAATTGGCATTGAAAAGAAAGATGGTTATGTCCATTTTGACCTCATCCAACTCCTGGCTTTGTTTTTACATCGTTCTATTCTGAAAGTAAGTCTTTCCTACTTAAGGCATCCTGGATTGTATAAAGTACAGAACTATGGACATTGGTAATAGAACGTTCTCCAACATATACTGCCTTTGTTGTTTTCAGCCACCAGTCCGATAAAAACTTTCTGATTCAAGTAACACTGTATTTCTCAATGCAGTTCTCAAATGAGAAATATGTATTTCTGCCACTAGGGGGTACTGCAGGGGAAATGCTCCAGTTTAGGTTGCTTGTGGCTCCACCTTGTATCTCCTACTGTTGGGTGATTGTTGGGATACAGTAGATGATAGTTTGTCCTCTCAGACCTTAATGGACAGGTAAGAGGGTACATTTGTCTGAAAATTAGTTTGTCTTTATAACCTTTTTATATGATTCCTATTAACCACTTGCCCTCCTGAGGATTTACCCCCCTCCCTGACCAGGCCATTTTTTGCGGTTATGACGCTACGTTACTTTAACGGACAATTGCGCGGTCATGCAACGCTGCACTCAAATGACATTTATGTCCTTTTTTTCCCACTAATTGAACTTTCTTTCAGTGGTATTTGATCACCTGTGAGGTTTATATTTTTTTGCGCTATAAAAAAAAAAAAGACCGACATTTTTGAGAAAAAGACAATATTTTTGACTTTTTGCTATTAAACGTGTCCAGTAAAAAAAAATAAAAAAAAATCAAATTTCGTCATAATTTTGCTACAAAAAAAAATCCCAATATGTGTAAATTAATTGGTTTATGTGAAAGTTATAGCATTTACAAATGGCGGTATATATACTGGGATTTTTTTTTTTCACTTTTACTAGTAATGGCAGTGATCAGCGACTTATAGCGGGACTGTGGAGGATATTCTGACACTGGGGGGAACGAACGTCCCCAGTGACACCAATACAGTGATCAATGCAAAAAAAAAAAAAAGCACTGACACTGTACTAATGGCACTGGGCAGGAAGGGGTTAACATGAGGGGCGATCAAGGGGTTACCTGTGTGCAGGGAGTGTTTTACTAGGGGGCCCCAGCTGACAGGGAGAAGGACTGTTAGTAAACAAAACAGTCCTCCTTCCCATCAGAGATTTCAGACATCACGGGGCACGGTGAGTAATTACCGGCCGGGGCCAGGTGATTGACAGCCACGGCCACGAATGGCGGCATGGGTAGGGCGTGCGCACGGGTTGCATGCGCCCTCTACCTGGAAATGCAAAATCACGTATACTTACACATGATTTTGCGCACCGCTGCCGCCCTGTAGCAGTATTTGTGCTATGGGGCGGTCGGCAGGTGGTTAATGTTCTCCACAATCACAACATAATTATTATATATAGTCTACTCAGTAACCTGATTTTTTTTTCCTTCTCCTTGTAAAATGGTGAGACCAACATTTAGAGTTTGAAAACATTTCCACAGTGCAGTTTCTGCTGAGCGCAAAGCTGCAATTTGCAGTGTAACAGCATGACTTTGAATTTGTAAAACTACTCCATGCTGAAATTTTTTTTTTTCAATTTTATAAAAATTCAGTAAAAGATTGGCTGCTGTTTACTGTGGATTACAATTGCTCTTTGTTACCACCTAACTGGTTAAGTCCCGGTGTGCTTCCTAAACCTCGTCCCAACCACTGGACTGTCACAACAGCCACCACAGCCAGGGGCACTAACCATAAATGTCTTATGCAGTGCCATGGACTGTGGGACAACAAGGAAGTCTGCCTGCCAGAGTCTAAAAAGAAGAAAAAGTCTAAACGGCAGAAAAAACGAGGCAGTAAAGGCGAGGATGATACCAATTCTGGCATTGTACCGTGGCACCTCTTCAAGCATCAGAATCCTTCAAAAAATGTTTTTAGAAAAAGAAGATCCTCACAAAAGGCCGTTGCTGAAGGTAAAACATACAACTTTGAGGAGTCGCTGACAATCATTCTATTACGTATTTTTTTAGATTTCCTATGGAGGCCAAAAAATGTAATTTATCTCTTTAAAATAACGTTTTAGGACAGTGAAGTTAAATGTACGTAAGATCAGTTTTTATTTTGTATGGTATATAAGAGCTAGGACTATTCTCAGGTTTTTTTTGCTGTGTCCCTGTTAGGGAGACCTACCATCCCTATTTTCCACCTGGCGACCATGGTCAGAGAATAATAAGAAATCCTCTTTTTTGAATTGACCCCACACAGAAATAGAGGGGAACTACAGACAGACTTTTCTCACCCAAAAAGTGTTATTTAGAGATTTCTAACTCTGTTGACTGCTAAGAGCATGACAATAATGTGAAGAATCTTCCAATAAAGACACATGTCTCAAAGGCACCTAAGGAGAGGACTTTCCCTCACTTTGGAGAGATCTCCTCTCAATTCCTGTTGTGTCTGCAAGAAAAAGTGAAAGTGAAATTTAAAAAAAGGCAAATGTTTTACCCTTCCCCACTTTACACAAACCAAAAATATGTTTTGGCTTTAAATATACTTCAGGGGAGTTTATTTTATTATTTTCTAAGTAGCATTAATGTTCGAGATTTTGTTGAGCATTTTTTTAAATGTATGTAGATATAGTCAATGTATGATGACATCTCAGCTTCATTTTTCTTCTCTTTAATAGGGCACACAGCTGGGCTATAATCCTGTGTCTGGAATCTAGTCTTTACTGTACCCTTCTACTCAGATCCCAGATTCCATATGTAGATTAGGAAAGTAGGCAAAATGTCCAACGTCCCTAACTGCACTACTCCATGTTTTCCTCATACAGACATAACTGTTAATCACTATAATTCCATAGGAGGCTTTGCAAAAAAAAAAAAAAAAGGGTCACCTAGCAGCATCATTTTTGTTTTCCTACCAGGCACACACCAAAAGAAGGAACCCAAAAGCAGATGGAATTGCTTCAAGCGGAACCCAAAAAAAAAGCGCTTGTCACTGAAAGAGAGACTAAAGCAAGAGTGGATCAAACTAAAGAAGCTGGCAGTGAAAATGTAATCCTGAAACTGTTGATAATTCTTTGTAGGTGCCCTGCACTGTACCTGTATTCATTTCTCATACACCAGTTTGAAAGAAGTGTTGGTGGTAGAAAATTGGACAGAAATGTACAGGAAGCAGAATATAGAGCAGGGGTGTCCAAACTATGGCCCTCCAGCAGTTGAAGTACTACAAGTCCCATCATGCCTTTGCCTCATGGAGTCTTGCCTGTGGATGTCAGAGTCTTGCAAGGCCTCATGAGACTTTCAGTTCCTCAACACCTGGAGGGCCATAGTTTGGACACCCCTGATATAGAGACATTAGTACTCACCTTCTTAGTAACTGAAATACCATATTGTTATTGGCTACATCATAACAGAAACACCAGTATTACAGTAATTAGCTATCTAAGCGCATAGTCACAGCACCCAATAATAAACAGTAATATACTTCACAAAGATGAGGACAAGCAAGACCTCACATTCACAAGGCAAGCTTAAAGTGTTACTAAACCCACAACAGTACAATCCGTCTGTATATGCAGTAAAGCATGCTTGTTATACTCACTGTGGAACCTATGGGGTTAATTCTCTGCATTGTGTAAAAACCCTGTTTAAATCCTGTCTTCTCTGATCCTCCCCTTCTTTCAGTGTCCTTCTCTTATCTCCAGATAAGACATATTGTGTGGAGTCACTTTACACATGCTCATTTCGGTGTGTATTGCTAGAGAGGGTTTTTTTTTCCTTGAGAGAAGTGCATGTGATTAGCACAGGGCCAGTCAGCACTGTCTAGACCAGGGGTAGGCAACCTGCGTCTCTCTAGCTGTTGTGGAACTACATTTCCCATGAGGCATTGTAAAGATTACAAAACTGACAGTTACAGCTATGACTTGCAGAGGCATGATGGAACTTCTAGTCCTGCGGCTCTCAGGTTGCCTATCCCTGGTCCAGACAGAGGTCAGGGGTCCTGCATCTTCCTAGAGCAGAAATAAACATTCCTCCTCCAAGCTTTAACATGTGCTTGGCTGGACACTGATAGAAGTCACAAGACTGCTCTAACTGCTGATGAGAAAAGGTATTTAGCAGTTTATATTTACTAAAATAATTGCATTTCCATGTTCTGTGTACTGTGGAAGACCGGATATAGTGAGCGTAGGGTCCGGGGGAGAGCGGATATAGTGAGTGCGGGGTCCGAGGGAGAGCGGATATAGTGAGTGCGGGGTCCGAGGGAGAGCGGATATAGTGAGTGCGGGGTCTGGGGAGACAAAATATAGTGAATGCAGGGTCTGGGGAAAACCGATATAGTGAATGCAGGGTCCTGGGAGACCAGATATAGTGAATGCAGGGTCCGGGGAGAGCGGATATAATGAATGCAGGGTCCGGGGAGACCGGATATAGTGAATGCAGGGTCCGGGGAGAGAGCGGATATAGTGAATGCGGCATCCGGGGAGAGCGGATATAGTGATTGCGGGGTCCGGGGAGAGCGGATATAGTGAATGCGGGGTCCGGGGAGAGCGGATATAGTGAATGCGGGGTCCGGGGAGAGCGGATATAGTGAATGCGGGGTCCGGGGAGAGCGGATATAGTGAATGCGGGGTCCGGGGAGAGCGGATATAGTGAATGCGGGGTCCGGGGAGAGCGGATATAATGAATGCAGGGTCCGAGGAGAGCGGATATAGTGAATGCGGGTCTGAGGAGACCGGATATAGTGAATGCGGGGTCTGGGGAGAGCGGATATAGTGAATGCGGGGTCCGGGGAGAGCGGATATAGTGAATGCGGGGTCCGGGGAGAGCGGATATAGTGAATGCGGGTCTGAGGAGACCGGATATAGTGAATGCAGGGTCTGGGGAGAGCGGATATAGTGAATGCGGGGTCCGGGGAGAGCGGATATAGTGAATGCGGGGTCCGGGGAGAGCGGATATAGTGAATGCGGGGTCCGGGGAGAGCGGATATAGTGAATGCGGGTCTGAGGAGACCGGATATAGTGAGTGCGGGGTCCGGGGTTTAGTAACACTTTAAAACACTTAAGTGTTTTTCACCTCTATCTTAAATTTCTTAAAGTTATCCTACATCTGACTGATTAAATAGTTATGATAGTGCAGCTTTAAATCTGCACAAAAACATACTATAGTTCAATTAACTAGTAAAAATTAGTAGGGTGCAGCAAGGGTCGGTCAGACCACATTGTGTGTGAGAGCAGCATTCAGTCTCGTTCATGCAGCCAGTACAGAGATTTATATAAACCTTGCTTACAGCACTTGGCAATGTAAAAAAAAACACTGAAAGAGCAGCATATTTATTACTGTGTATATATCCCAACTCCATTACAGTAATTTAAAAAAAGTTCAAGTGGGATTTAATTGTTCGTCCTGCTTCAAGATAAGTCCCCTCTCAGGTTTTAGTAGAATGTCAGCCTATTTATCTTTTTTTTTCACGCAAATATAAAACTTTTATTTTTTTTTTTAATTATGAATATAGCTGCAATGAAAAAATGGTGCATGAAAAAGTGAGACGTCAGCTTTGGGTTTGGGAGCATGTCCACTTTCTATGTGGCCCCAAACAATCAAGCACTCAAGCACATTCCTTCCTTTTTATTTTCAAAAAAAAGCACTGAAATGACAAGGGAGAAATTTTTAGTTGTGAACATTTTTTTTTTTTTGTTTTTTTGAAGCAGAAACTTTCATACATGGAGCTTTAATATGAAGTGGTTTCTGTTTTCTTTCACACAGAGCGCTGCAAATCTACCTGCCGATCAGACAGTTCTTCTATGATATCATACACCCAGAGTACAGCCCAGTATGCGATGTCTATGCCATCATGTTTCTGGTCGATGTTATCAATTTCATTATTGTTATCTTTGGGTACTGGGCATTTGGGGTAAGGATGTACTACTCTACTACTCGACATTTACCGCCCTATTTATCAAAGTGCATAAGGAAATAAAATGTTCTGGTCTCCTCTTAGCAACAAGATTTCTGCTTCAGGCTTTCTAATATACTAAGGGTATTTTGGTAGCTCTTTCTTGTTCCCATGGACATTAAGGAACAGGCGAAAATGGGCTTTTTTTTTTTTTTTCCTGTACAAACTAACTTTAAAAATGTGTATGATTGGCAACCTTGCTCGTACATCTAGTTTTGTTATTCACACATCCCTTTCAGATTGTGCAGTCATGCCCCTAACCTTCAATGTGGTAACTCCAGAACAGCTTCGTCAAAACACCCCCGCCCCCCGATAGTAGCAGAATACCTATTTATAGATTGTATTATATCTGGTTTTTGTTTGTGCCTTTGGCACATCTGGTTCCCATGTCCTTAACTGTTTGGGAAAAATCCCGTCAATAAAAACTGATGGCCTGTAGTTATTTGCAGAAACACTCGGCTGCAGCAGACATCACTGAGTCTCTGTCGGAGGACCAGGTACCTGAAGCCTTTCTAGTGATGCTTCTCTTACAGTTCGGCACCATGATCGTTGACCGAGCCATATATCTGCGCAAAACCATGTTCGGCAAGTGTGTCTTCCAGGTTGTCCTGGTTTTTGGGATTCACTTCTGGATGTTTTTTATCCTACCTGGAGTCACAGAAAGGTATGGTGACACAATGCATTCCCATCATCCCTACTGTCAAAGAACAGGTCTACTTCTTGTATTCTAATTGATGATACTAAAGTGAAAAAACGCTATTATATTATAATAGTTAATACTCTCAAAAATTATATCAAGTCATCATCGCCATGGTTTTATTAATATTTTGTCAGATGAAAATACAAATTCCAAAAAATGGAGAGCTAGCCAACCCCCTCCTGACTGCCTTACCTTCCTAAGGGTCAAGGAAACTGCCTGTTATAGGGGCAGGCCAGCTCCTAACTTCAAAAGCAAGTGTCATAGATGCACATTGGGACACTATAAAAGTTTCAGGATTTCCAGGGAGCTTGTATAAATATAGTAAGGTATTTACCTCTGTCAGCCGATATTTTATTAAAGCGGAGTTCCACCTAAAAAAAAATAAATAAAAGTCAGCAGCTACAAAAATTGTAGCTGCTGACTTTTAAAATACAGTTACTTACCTGTCCCTCGGTCCAGTGGTATCCTCACCACAGCTGTTTTCAACGGCCGTCTTCTCTCCTGGCGCCGACATCTTCAGTGTGGGCACCTGGCTGTGACAGCTTGCGGCTTCACAGCCGGGTGCCCACTGTGCATGCGCGAGAAGCGCTGTGCTTTGTGAATGGCCCCGTAGTCTTCTGGGACCTGTCACGTGTCCCAGAAGACTATGGGGAGGAAGGAGGGGACACAACTTCTGCTTCTAATTGCCTAGGTGATCGCAGTTGAAGTGGGAGCGGGTACTTGGCAAATTCGCTCCCCAAAAGGTGCCAATCTTTAATGGGGAGCGGGAGACAAAGCCTTAAAGCGGAACTTCCCCTTTTGGGTGAAACTCCGCTTTAAGAATGCCAGTTTAGCATGTTTTTGGACCTGACAAGGGAGTGCTTAATAAAGCTCAAACAATCCAGGCACCGTCTGCTATAATGTTGACCCTCTGACCTGGCTCTTTGATATGTCCAGGCCTGACTTATAAAGGGCCACTCCAGCCAAACTGTTAAATACAAATCTAAAATGCAACTACAATGTACAAGTCTGAAGGATTCTTGGAAGCTTGTGAAGATGTTTAAAGGTAATAATTTCGAGGCGTCTGCATTTTATTCATATTGCTAGTTTATAAAGGGTTAGTAATTAATGTATTTATTAATGCTATTGACTGTTTATTCAGATTCTGTAAATTATGCAATGCCTGAATAGCTTACTTTTGCTTGTGGGAAGCAGATAATGGAGATAGACTGAGGACAGCCAGGTATCTGAGAGCCATGTGTCATTCATGGTCACTGAACTGCATCAGAGTATATTTTTGTTTTAATGCTGTGTACAGTATTTGTGTCATCTTTGTCCTTCTCACGTTTGTGTTTTGCAGGAGATTTAACACCAATCACGTTGCCCAGTTATGGTACTTTGTTAAGTGTTTGTATTTTGGACTGTCTGCATATCAGATCAAGTGTGGCTATCCTAACCGAGTCCTGGGAAACTTTCTGACAAAGAGTTACAACTGCATCAACCTCTTCCTCTTCCAGGGGTGCGGAAATCTCTATCTATTTACCCCAATATTAATGCCTGATCAAACAGATATAGCAAACCCTTTTATACTCTGCTGGCATCTGAACCTATATAGCTTCAGATCTAATGTCAGTAGAACTTCGATGAGACTAATTGCTTATATTCCACAATATGTAAATCAAGATCTGCTTGTTACACTAAACATCCAATCAGATTCTCCTTTTCATTCTTTGCTCCAGGCAGCAATGCAAATGCCACTATTTATTCAACTTACCTGTTGAAACATTATTAAAATGTGTAAAAACATGCAAGTGGCAAAAGTGCACAAATATGTCTTGGCATTGTCTTCTATAATCCCTTGTCATACAGCAGTTTGAATTGAGGTTCGATATTCCTAACAATGTGTTGCTGCTTCACTGTCCAATCACAGGCTGGAATGGGTCCTAAAATGTTTTTATGCTGAACTATAGTAATGTTCGCAAGGAAATCTAAGGAAAAACAGGATCTGGCCCTGCTGCCTGGTAGGGATGCCAGCAGCACAAGACAGGTTGAACAGAAAATATTATATAGAAGATACTAAAGTCGATCAGTAACATAACAGCTCCTCAACTTGCATTTTAAGAAGGAGGTCAGCAAAGGCAGACTAAGTATTTCTCTCTTGACAGGTTTCTTATAAAGACAAACACAGACATTTATCAAATGAGTCATATCTTTCATCATTATGTGGATCATAAATGTTTGATGTGGGCTTCAGCTTTAACTAAGATATGGAAGTTGAAGTAAAACTGATGGCAAAACGTGTTTTGAATAGAGCAGTGAGGGATTAGAAAAGCTGTTTTTATTGCTCTTTGTGTACCTGGTATGAAGATTAACCCTACTTGTCCTATTTACCTTTTATCATCAAGACTGAATGTAAAAGAAAAAGCAAAATTTTGGGTTGTTGAGGGATTTCCTCTCACTTTCTGTTATGACTATGTGAAGTGAAATCTCCCCAATGGGACACGATGACAAAAGAACCAGACAGGGCTTATCCAAAATGCCTTTAGTTCTACTTTAATATTTGAGGAGCTGATTGGCAACCGATATCTTTCCTGCACTCTCCAACTACGAGGCCCTTTTGAACTCTGGGAAATGACATATCATATGCTTATATAACTTTTTTATTTTTTAGAAATGAGGTTATATTTGTACCATTGTTTCCCATACAGTTTCCGAATGGTCCCGTTCCTAACTGAGATGAGGGCTGTGATGGATTGGATATGGACTGACACAACTCTCAGCCTGTCCAGCTGGATCTGTGTGGAGGATATCTATGCCAATATCTTCATTATGAAGTGCTGGAGGGAATCTGAGAAGGTATGAAGTTTGTATGAAAAGAACAGATCAGGGATGATGACTGATAGTAACTGGTGTTGAAGAGAAATGTGTGTGTCACCCATCCACATCTTACCTATTGTTATCTGTACATCTATGATGTGTTACACACTGAACTGACCTTCGTTGATGAGGTGAAATAGGTTGAAAACGTTCTGTGTATGAGCTGGCAAGCTTCATTTGGTGCTTTAAGTGTAGATTGTGTGAAAAGACCTAGATGTTGACATTGCCGATTGCCTGCTAAAAATGCAACACTATCAACAGTATTAAAAAATGCAACACTGTCATGGCAATTTTAAGCCCTCCAAGTCGTGAATCTGTACGGGTTTTCAGATCCGGAGTTCTGGCTACATGCTTGTTCCAGTCAGTGACTTTCATGCTGATGCTGTTTAATTAAAATGTATTGAAAGAATTAATCAAAGGCACCTGTGTATTTCCCTCAAGCCTCTTTTATGAACCAGGTAGATTAGGACACTTGCAGGCTTGCCATATTGGTATGTATCCAGGAGGCTTTATTGCTTTTATTCCTTAACTTAAATGGATGGTTTCAAAGTTGTTTGCTGGAGACAAATTTTGGGTGTCAATGATCAATAATGGACGTCAAAAATAGGTGGTCCAAACCTTTTATATGTTTAATGGCTGGAGAGATGGTAAGAAATACTATATACTTTTGCTTGGGGCTTACAGAGGGCAGAAGACGCTCACCCTGCCCCATGTGACAGCACTGATTTCCTGAGTGTCCTATCAGAAAGCACCAGAGCTGCCACAAAGGAGGAAGGGTAGTAAGTCACATGCTCCGTTATACCTAGAAATACTAGTTATTTTGATTTGCTGCTTGTGGATGAATGGATTGGTGTGCAATGGAGAAATATTCCAGTTAATTGGACCTGTTGCTTTGCCCTACATGCAAGAAGATCATTTCATGTTTGTTTGTAAACTTTTCAGAAATACCCAGAGCCCCCAGGACAGAAGAAAAAGAAAATTGTCAAGTATGGAATGGGAGGAGTTATTATTTTTGCACTCATCTGTATTGTCTGGTTCCCACTCCTGTTTATGTCACTGGTGAAATCTGTGGCTGGAGTGACCAATCAGCCTTTGGATGTCTCCATTCAGATAAGCATTAGCGGTTATGAGGTAAGGATGTACTGAATATCACATGACGGTATTGTATATTCAATAAACATGCTTTGATTTCTGTCCCAGTATCAAAGCCCCAGGAGTGACACTGCTGTTACCTTGCTCAGATACTGGAGAGTTCAGAAAATAGCAGTGCAGGCATTGAGGCAAAAGGGACCAACTGAGGAACCTCCACATGACCTGGAGTGGCAGCTGTTATTTGGGACAGATTTACATACTGCCCCACCAGCTTCGGAGCAAAGCAACATAAAAAGTTACTGATGAAAGTCTTTATTGAAGGCATTGTGCAAAGTATTAAGAATGGATTTTGAACTTATGTACGTTTGCTGCAAAGAGGAGAAGCAAACAGCATAAGGTGATTCAGCTCCAGCCTAAAGGGTTCCTCTACATAAATTACAATGGGGGTTATTTACTAAAACTGGAGTGTGCTAAATTTTTGGTGCAGGTCTGCATAGAAACCAATCAGATTCTAGGTTTTATTGTCAAAGATTAATTGAACAATCTGAAGTTAGAGGCTGATTGGCTACCGTGCAAAGCTGCACCAGTTTTAGGAAATGTCCCTCAATGAGTCTACAGTCTGGATGATACCTTTGTTTCTGCACCCAACTTTACTCCCTGCCACCAACCTTGATGACCATTATCAGAGAATGTCTGGATTTGGGGGGGGGGGGGGTGTCAGGCACATTGATTCCTGTACCGCTAGTAATAATTTTTTTTATTAAATATAAATGTTTACGGTTTTATTTTTTGCTCTCTTTTGATCTCTTCAGCCTCTGTTTACTATGAGTGCCCAGCAGCAGAACCTGGTCCCTTTCTCTCAGGGAGCGTATGATCAGCTGACATACAGTTACGCCTTACATCCTGTGAGTGCACATTGATATGCGGAAATTTATTTAGCAATATGTAAAATCCATTGGTGGGAGTAAGACTGTTAACTGGCATTGAAAAAGGCAACAAAAGTTGCAGGAACTGGGACAAAAATAAACCTCTTCAGTAGAGTCCCTACAAGGTATAAGAAGGAGCATGTAGTTTTAAGTACGTTTAAACCCTAAAATAAACCTCTTTTATTTGCTTTCTTTTTGCTTTGCTAAATACGTAATTGAAAATGTTTTGATTTATATGTTTTATAAGTGCATGCCTCAATATTGTGAGCAAGAATTACACAGGGCTATAATGAAACACAAAGGGCTGGGACCTATGCCCCTCAATGGACTTGTAGAAAACTACTTTATCCCAAGTACAAAAATCTTATTTTCTCCTTTGTGAGGGACACGGGAATTCAGTAACAGTTCAGGCACCCAAAAGTAGTCTGAGGGATGTTCAATAACCACAGGCAAGCCCAAACAGAGTTTGGAAGTCAACCACATTTTAGAGACATGTGAAGGACCAATGCTTGAAATAAGGCTAGATGAGGTGAATCCCAACTGCAATAAAGGTGAACTGCCTCGATCAAGAGGAGGAAACTGAGAATCAATTTGGGGTTCCAGACCTGGAGAAACACCACCAAGGCCAAGCTTCCATCTGGAGCAAAAACGGGCCCCAACAAATTAGAGACTGGAGAGCCAACCACCGATCCCATAAAACTAGGTGGAATAAAACACTAATAAACCAGGAGAAAACCAGGCCACTAACTAGAAGTGATCAACAGCAAATTTTCATGGGGCCAACACCATGGAAAAACATGTCCCCAAAGTTTGGAACGCAAGCAAGTACAATGAAAAAAACAGCTGGTCAACAGGAGACCCAAGCCTAACACTCCTAAGCTGTAGAAGCAGCGAAAAGGAGATTTTGTGATGAGGAAGGAGGTCATGAGTTGAATGAACCCTCACCCTTCAGTTGAGGAGACTCAGAAGGTGATGCCTTGTCTCTCTAGTAGTGACAGTGCAGTCAAAAGTGGCACAGACTGCTGTCCAGCATAGGGACATGTCGCAGGAAAAGTTCACAAACATGATCAAATTAGAATATTGACTCCCTGCTGAGTCACCTGATAAAGCAGGAACTGGCTGTTCTGGGGAATCAGAGGAAGGTCCCAGATAGGGTTAGACAGTAGTCAAATAAGACCTCCCGTGGCAGGGGGAATGAACAGTCCTGTCTCCTGCTAAAAGCTGAAAGGTTGTGCCTGGAACTTCTTGATCCAAAGAGACTATTTGAATATCTTGCAACTATTTGAAGAGCTTAGACATCAAGAGTCATGAAATGAGCCCCATTTTCAGGGCGGGTCTCCTGAGTGTTCCAAGGTGGAGATGCCAAGAAAACCGCACTCAGCTGAACATAAGGTCCATTGCTTTGATCAGCAGTAGATGCTTCTGAAAGACCCTAAAAAGATCAGGTCCTTACAAGGGAAGACAACTGTTGACCTTTAGGGTCACATGGTCCTTCAAAAGAGGGGCAAGGTTGAGGGGTAGCATGTGCCACAGAGGGCTCTATAGGAGCATCAGTCATATTTGAAACAATCCCTTATAAATCTGCGCCATTTGCAGATGGCTCAAAAATTACCTCCCCTAGAGGGAGTCTTGTGGGATTCTGAAACTGAAATGTTAATAAGGCCCTTACAAAGTTGCCCAACAATGTATCAGGGAGGTAGGTCCTGATACTACAGCTGACCATACCTACTCATTTGGGTAGATTGACTAAAACGGGTGCACACAGAATCTGGTGCAGCTGTACATAGTAACCAATCAGCCTCTAACTTGAGCTTGTTCAGTTAAGCTTTAACAATAAAACCTAGAAGCTGATTGGTTATTATGCAGAGCTGCACCAGATTCTGTGTGCACCAATTTTAGTAAATCTCCTCCACTGAGTCACATCAGAAAGCACTCTGTGGCTAACCAGTAGAGCACATTTAGGTCTGGAAGGCACCAACATGCAGAGCCTGGTGTCCAAAGCAGGCTAGTCTTGCACATCCAGTCCAGCAGGTTCCGGATATGGCCTCCAAAGATAATGGTAAACATACCCCTTGCTATGTGGAGACTTGCTCAAGCAGCAGTGCGGCAATAGATCTGGACTGCAGTGACCAAAAAAAAAAAAAAAAAAATAGCAGCCTATCACAGAATTCTGGATTGACATTGTCAAGGGTAAAAAGCACAAGAAAACAAATCCAGCAAAATTAAGTAAACTTTTGTATAGTGGAGCTGGAGAAGGGTAACCAACCTTCCAGCACACTAGCAAAAAAACCAAGGCATGTCCAATAGTGGAGGGGTTATGGGGGGCTGCCTTGAAACTTTTTCTGAGTTTGCCAGAGTCCCTGTCCCCTGCAGGCAGTAGTATAACTCGACTGTTACTGAATTCTTGTGTCGCCCAATGGACACCTATTGATCTTGTTAGAAATGCAAAGCTGTCTTGTGGCTTCTGCACACTTTCTGTAAGGAGCCTTCCAAGTATCCATCTTGTACTACAAAATGATTAGCCTTTATTTTGTAAGATCTACAAGTTGGAGTTGTTGAATACTTTTGCAAGAGACACTTGACAGGGTTGACACCACAATATGTCCACAACATGGGATGTCCTCAGATGATGGGATGTCCTCAGATGATGTGTGTTGTCAGCCCACAACAGGGCTTAGGAGCTGAATGCATTTCTGATAGATGAACACCTGTCCGGCTACTGCACTGTAGATGTATATTTCTCTCTATTGGCAGGGTTTTTAAAGGGATTAAACATGAGGAAATGTATTGCGTAGGTGTTTTTTTTTTTTTAAGTTTTCTTTTACATACGATTTATCCCTGCCAGCCTATACCTTGCCAGCATGCACGCATAAAGTTCGGGAAGAGGGGGCCCTTTCAAGTCTTGTTTCATTGAGAGCAATTGATCTGATGCAGGATATGTTTTCTTCTGCTCCTAGTCTGCCATGCAGTTTATAGTTAATTACATGCCAGAGGACATTGTTACCGCTAAAATAAAGAGCAATGCCAGCCTTCTTTGGACCATCAGCCCGGCAAGCCGACAGGCCATGATCAAGGAGCTCTCTGAATCCACTCATATCTACTTTGATGTTCACTGGAGCATCCTCAGGTACAGAGGGGGCATGTGCAATCATTTGCTGGGACGAGCAGAATTTTCCTGCATGCCACCCTAATAGATAACAGAACCTTCCCTCTAGCAGGATGGACATGTCTCTATAGGACACAATGCTGCAATCAACAGCTCACTAAGCTGGAAAATCTCATGACCTACCCCTAAATGCTACAGTGTGTAACCAGGCCAGGAATTGTATTGTGTATACTGTACCATGACTATTGTGTTCTGTTCCAGGAATGCATCTATTGTAAAGAGCGCAGAGAGCATTGGAAAACATACAGCGTGCTATGATGATGCAGAAACCCGCGACCAGATTGTTCAGATGTTGAGAGGAGAAAGAAGAGAGCCAGTGTATGTGCATTTAAGTTTTACATCTGTGTAGTGTGGCATTTAACCCCCCCCCCCCAAACCAAGTGTCTTGTAATGGAAGATGGAGCAGCTCTGAGCGGTCCTTTTGTAGAGGAAGCAGGGTGCAAGACTAAAGCACAGGGTGTCTACAAGCAGGAATGATGTGTTAACAATCATGTCTGTCTGTGCTCTGCCATAGTGCAGCTACACCCATTAGCATGCCAAAAACCTTGAATGATTGTGCCGAAATTGTATTGCCATCCGCCTTTTGCCAAAGTGTGTGAGAAAATGCAAAAGGGAAGCTGAGGACAGTCTGACTTGAGGGGCTCAGTTTCAGCAGACAGGTGTTTGGGGCACTCCACTAATGGCTACATGCTATTTCTCGGAAGAAATTTCCTGATGGTGGCAACCAGGCCTGGTAGTGTCCATCAGAAGCCCATGTGACGGGGTGACAATGCAGGAGCACAGTTGGGAGTCAGAGTCAGAGTGTTGTCAAAGACTTTTATGGCAGATCGCCAGGTACAATATGTAATAATATTTCTTTATTTATTTATTTTTTTTAGCATGCTGAAGGACATTTTACCAAAGCATCTCAGAGCAAATGCTGGGCCTGAGGCCAAAATTGCTCACCGTCTCAAAACAGGTAATATTAACCTTTATGATAACAGCCAAATCTCAGAGGAATTGCCACACAGCAAACATGGCAAAATATCAGTGCAAAGGCTCAGTTGGAAGCTGACATTCACAGTCTTGTGATGTATGCTTCTTTTCCTTACTGCCAGACTGTATAAAAACTATGGAAATCCTTTTCACCTCCATGTGGTCTTTCCTTAGACTTTTCCGAGAAGCCAGAAGACATTGAGAAATATGCCTTCTTCCGGAATCTAACCCTGAAACTGCAGCAGTTGTCTGTTAACAACACATCAGGCCAGGTGACAGAGTGGTGGGTTATTCAAGAGTGGCACCCAGCCTGTGGGACCAATGGCTGTGCTAAGAATATCGAACTTGTAATTTACAATGACAAAGCCAGTCCTCAGAGCCTTGGATTTCTGGCTGGATACGGGTAAGAGCTGCCTTTTTTATATCACTCTCTCTTATCACAGTGTCCAAAGAGGAACTGCTCTGATTACCTATAACATCCAGATTAATTTTCTCAATGATCCATTGAGGAACACAGCTTTATGGTAAGAAGCCTAGGTTATACTTCCACCCTCAGGAGATATGGACATTAGACGCATACAAATCTGAAGGCCGGCCTAGAGTCTATAACCCCTCTGACACCAATTTTGCAAATTTTGCTTAGTTTCCTCCCCCCAGCCGAGTGCCCCCAATAGCAAGCCTTTTTTCTATGGGGGCACTTGAGCAGGCTTGCTCCCGAGCCACGCTCATGAATGGGCATTGTCCATTCACACACACAGTGTGGTTCAGCCATCAACCCACTTGCTCCTCATTGGCTTACTGGCTGTGATTGACAGCAGCAGGAGTCGATGTCTCTTGTGGCTGTGTGAGCCAATGAGCAGAGAGAGACCTGAGACAGCTGTGGCTCTCATGCATTTTGCTGGTTTGAGATGGGGCTCAAGTAAGTATAAGGGGGGCTGAGGGGAGAGCTGCACCCAGAAGGTTATTTACTTTAATTTCTAGAATGCATCAAGGTAAAAAAAAAAGCTTCTGCCTTTAGAACCACGTTAATTTTTGATTAAAAAAAAAACCCCTGGAAGCCGATTGTTCTCTCCACAATGGTTTGGTAGTGATAAAGCTGTCTGTGTCAAGTTTACACAGGACTCTGCTTTAGGTTCAGGCTGGCATAGCTGGGGATACCTTGCTGAGTTATCTGGTGCAAAGCTGTGGTAGTTCACCTATACCTGTCGGCTCCCTTTGTGAATGGATGTAGCAGGCTATATGCTGTGTTAGGGATTCTTTCCTTTATTGTACCCAAGGCTGTCTATATATGCCAAATTTTCAGAAGTCGCTAGATTTAGCAGGGGTCTGTTTCGGGCGAATGGAGATTTCTGCTTTGTCCTCGTCTATTTATGATACCGACTAAGCAAGCTGGGCATGGTTTTCAGGCTTGGGACACCCCTCCTCTTTATACCTGGGCCTGTTACTTGTATTGACTCTTGTACTATGTCTGCCCGAACCTTCATTTTAAACTTCCCATTGGTTTTTTCTTCTTGGCCAGGTCTGTTCTTGACATCACTTCTGGGAAGGAGCTAGCAAGCGCCAAGCAAATCTTTCTGTGGTTTCTTCTCATCGGTGTAGTAGCCTGGAGCTTTCTCCTCCGCCTCCTAAGGACAGCCGGCATTATAGGAAGATAGTATCTCTGGCAGCAGATACAGCCTTTGGGTGTTGCTCTCGGGCAGTGGTCACTAGGTGCACCCAAAGCATTCAGCTGCTCTAGAAGTATTCTCAGGGGACCGGAGCAGCTTTTATTTTCAAACTACAGCAGCCTTCCACTGCTAGAGGCATGTCTAGATCTAAATGGAAGGGCGGCCACCCTGTAGCTATGGGTTGTCCATCTAGTCCAGACCTAAATTAAACTCGGCAAGGGAAAGGATTGTGCTTTTGCGATTCTTACAAATCCTAATCGGAATGGACTGGGCAGCTGCTGGCCATTACTGACACCCCCTTCTCTTACTAGAGAGCTCATTCAGCCTTCTCCTTCACAGCAGAGGTATTTTCTTTTGTTATGCAAGGCATTCTGACTCAATTGGTGCAACTTGCTGTTCCATTCATAGGATTTTTCAATGTTCACTACTGTCTTGCCTAGAGGAATCAGGAATATTAAGCACTTCTGTGTTTATCAGTGATCCTCCAGAGGTTTCCTTGTCATGCACAGAGTTCTTACCTTTCCTGGAGATGGGGGGGGGGGGGATTAATTAGCTTCTCAATGGAAGATGAAGCTGGATGTTTTTTTTTTTTTTTCCCAGTACTTGAGACCTGACAGTAGATACAGCAGACACCCTAGTGATACTGTCACAAGTTTTACCTCCCGTCCGAGTTGCTGCCCATAACTTACGTATTATTAAGCCTTTGCATTAGTGTTCGAGCAACATGTCTTCACATAGAAGCCGGTCCCCTCTGGTCTTTGGGGTGTTTGCTGTCGTTTGAGTATTCTCATATTTTGTGTGTGTTGATCCTGTGTTCTCAGTGTATTCCTTCTTCCCCTCCCTGTTGCTGTGTGTCCTTCCCAGCATCCTTTCTTGTTTATTTGCCCTGCAGTTGATTCCCAGCTTGCTGCAGTTGGTTTCTTGTGTTCTGTGTGTACTCTGTGTCCTTCCAGTGTGCTATGTGGTTGCACTGTGTCCGCACAGGTGTGTTAGAGAGCTGCAACCTGAGGGCTGCTGTGCAGTGCAACATCCACACCTCCAGTGAAGACTAGGTGACTCCTTAGATCGTGGGTGTCAAACTGGCAGCCCTCCAGCTGTTGCGAAACTACAAGTCCCATCATGCCTCTACCTTTTGGGAGTCATGCTTATAACTGTCAATCTTGCAATGCCTCATGGGACTTGTAGTTTTGCAACAGCTGGCGGGTCACCAGTTTGATACCTATGGCTTAGATCCTGCAACTCTGACACACCACCGTATGTGTGTGCCCAAATTGCTCCTGCAGGGATCAGTACCCAGGTGTCGGTTTAATTGTTTACATTGGCCCACTAGATTTTGAGTTGCAGTCCCAGGTGGGCTTACCCCTCTGATCGGGACAGGCACCAGTATACCCTGATCTACACACTTCCTCCAGGGAAAGGTTTACCTTGACTACTTCATATGATCAAGTCTGAGAGCATTTCAGTCATCCCTATTGGTCTCAGATTTCGGTATCTCAGCCTTGTTTGTAAACTGGCTCTCTGTGGCCTCTACCAGCTCTCTTATCTCAAGGACTGATCTTCCACCTTGCTTCTCGGTTGCTGGCTTTGCCGACCTGGCTGTTGAAAAGTGGGAAAGACCTATCTTCATTGATGGGAGTTGCTGTGGGTTTTCTCTATGTACCATTTCAATGGGCTGTGTTCTTTTTGCCATTTAGGAGTGGAACATTTGTACCTTTTTAGGCTCAGTAGCCTCCCTAGCGGTCTGATTATGTCAGTATTTCTGTGCTCAAAGCGGAAATATGTATTTTTTTTATTGTAGGCTTGTAATTTTTAGGAAAAACTCACTGAAATATGTCCGAACAAGAGTCTAGTAAACATTCCGTGTATGTTAAAATTTGAAACACGAAATCATAAATTATAATATAAAAAATATAATAATACATGTAATTCAATAACCAAACACACTGAAATTTGAAATACAGCGCCAAGAGATCCCGAGCAGTGGTGCAAGGTATTCCCAAGTGTAGCTGAAACTTTACCCCGAGCTACACTCGGGAATACTGCCAGGGATGTTAAGGAACCTTCTGACAGTCACTGATATGTAGTTTTTATGCAAGGGGCTGAGACAGGTTGCTCCCTGTTGCTTGGATGTGGTGAGGGGCATCAGATGTTTTACCTTTTTTTTGACACTAGTCCTTTAAGGCAGACAGATTCCTTTTTTTTGTCATTCCAGAGTACCCCAGAAGAGGTTTCCTGGCTTCCAGATCCACTATTTCTAAGTGAATGTAACAATTTGTTCTGGCCTGTGAGAAAGGGTTTCCTGTGCCTAGTAAAGTTGAACTCCAGGAACAGATGCAGTTTCCAACTTTCTTTTTACATACTTTCTCTAAGTTTTTACAAGCTCGCTGGGTCCGGCTCAGCAGAAACTACCATATTTTGGCTCCATAAGACACACTTTTCCTTCTCCTCCCCCCCCCCCCAAAAAAATGGTAAGGCGTCTTCTGGGACACATGACAGGTCCCAGAAGACGCCAGACCAATCACAAAGCGCAGTGATTCTCGCACATGCGCACTGGCTGTCAGCCTGGTGCCCACACTAAAGGGAGGACAACTCTGCGGAAGTGGGAGCGGGTACCTGTCAAATTTCAGGTACCCGCTCCCCCTCCCTCCCCAAAGGTAAGCAGTCTTAGTCATCGCCTATACTGTCTGCAGTCTCTGGTCATCTCCTGTACTGTGTCCGCAGTCTCTGGTCATCTCCTGTACTGTGTCCGCAGTCTCTGGTCATCTCCTGTACTGTGTATGCAGTCCATTGGTTCAGAATATTTTTTTTCTTGTTTTCTGCCTCTAAAACCTAGGTGCGTCTTATGGAATGAAAAATACAGTAGTTTTGATTGAAAGGTTTCGGAAGTGGCTGTTTAATGCCCTTGTTTTCCTTTTTTCCTCTTTGCAGCTGTTGTTACCTTTAGCATGTTCCTAGGTTTCTTAGTGTCAAGATGTGTTCTTAAAATGGACAATAGAGCAGTTGGATTTCTGTATTCACTTTAAAATCTTTTTCTTGGAGTCCATTGAGGGACACAGCGCCTTTTGTTATCCATTCTATATTTAAACTGTTTGTTAAAACAGAGTAGAGCTGGTGTGGAAGCAGTTATAGCATCAAGGGGGCTGGTCTTTAGTTTTCTATGTGCCTTATATCCATGTCTCACATCCACCTTGGCAGTGGTATAACACAGATTTATTTCTGTCACACTGTTCATGCAACCTGCATTCTCCCTCTATCAAGGAGAGGTGCAGTGACTGAATGCAGGTTGGCAAGGGCTGTGTTGGTGGGGAGTTATGTGATCAAAGGTAGGTTGCGAAGGATTGGGAAAAATGCAATATAATGGAGATACAGGGGTGGGAAATTGGTAAATGAAGGTTGCTAGAGAATGATTTGCATCTCAATAAATGTATATTATTCTCTGGCAACCTTCTTTTACCAACCCCATCCCCCTTCACCACCATTATAGTGTATTTCTCCCTATCAACCCCCCAATTCCAGTCCATTCCACTCTGGCAGCCTGCATCCACATCCAAATCAGTGTATCCCCTTCCTTAGCAATCTGCATTCACGTTCAGTCCCCCCAGCATGGTGTATCATGCACTATTAAGCAACCTGCCAAACATCACATCTCTCTTCTTCCTCCATAGAGCACATCCCTCTTTGGCATCCTGCATTCACCACCACTCACTTTGCCTTAGCAATCTACAACCAAGTACAGCATTTTTCAGCAACCTCCATTCACTCCCTGTGGTTTAAGCCTCTCGGACGATGTGCATTCACCCCAAAATCACATTGCATTACCCCACTATTAGGCAATCAGAATTCCACATCAATTTGCAATTACACCCAAATCATAGCACAACCCTCCCAGCCACCTTGAATGCATTCCCAAGCATTGCATCCCTCCTTGGTAAGCCTACATCCAGTGCATCACTCCCAGGCACCCGGCATTTAATGCCAGTTCATCCCACCCTACATACTGCACATCCTGCATTCATCCCCTGATCACAGCACATCTCCACCTAGAAACCTTCCCCCTAAATCAAAATGCATTTCACCTTGGCAGCCTACCCAATCACATCCCTCCTCTGCACACATAATGGAAAGATCAAAGTAGTACAAATATTTTTGCCCCATCATCTATTGCAGACTCACAAAGATCTGAAATGAGCACTTTTTGTTACTGAGTGAGAAGAACTTACCTCTGTCAAGCTAGTCTCCACTCATTGGATCACAACAGTATAATAATCCACATTTCTCTGATTTTTCAGCATTGTTGGTCTCTACATGTCGGTTGTTCTGGTCATTGGGAAATTTATTCGAGAATTCTTCAATGGGATCTCACGCTCCATTATGTTTGAAGAGCTACCAAATGTGGACCGCATTTTAAAACTCTGCACAGACATCTTCTTGGTACGTGAGACAGGAGACTTAGACCTGGAGGAACAATTGTTTGCCAAACTGATATTCCTCTACAGATCTCCTGAGACCATGATCAAATGGACCAGAGACCACCATGATGAGTGACCTTCATAGATGTGGACCAAGGGGACCCCAACTACTTCTAAGAACACACTGTTGAGTTACAGGGGTGTGTGGACTGCAGGCTAGTACCATGTATTATAAAGGCAATACACATTTACATAATTTGTATGCAGCTAAAAATAAACCCTAGTAAACCATTGATTTATACAAAGTATCTGAATCGTGCATTGTAGATTCTACAGCTAGTCATGATCTGTAAGCAAAGCACATTGGTATGGATCAAAATCATGGCAAAAAGGGTGTTTTGTGTACATTCAGGTTTTGGAAGGAAGGTGAAGAGTAAGACAGCTGGCATACTCTGGGCCATTTCAAGCTTTCCATCAGCCAACTGCTTACCTCCCATTTTAATAATTTCCAAGTGTCTAAGTGATTAAAACTAATCTGAAACCCCAATTTAAAAAAAGTATATATATTTCAACTAGGACTGGGATGGTTGTGATAGATTTTCACCAACAATTAATTATTTGGTCACTTAGAACTGGCTAGTAAAGTGAAAGGCAGATGCCACTAACAAGTATTGGCTCCTGGAGAACTACATGAACAACTTGGAGAACAAACTTGCATATAATCCATCAATTCACTTCTGAGTAAACATTTTAGGAGAGACAGAGGGAGGCAGAAAATGTTCTGGATTTTTAGGACAGCCCTCTAGCTTCACTGACATGGACCACATTCTGTAAAGTCAAAAAGATTACATACTTGTTCCAGGTCAAAGACTTAAGGTATGAAATTCAAAGTGACAGCATGACACCCAGGAAACTAGAATTCTCAGAAGTAGAGGTCAGTACTGCTCTCCACCCCCCCATTCTCTGCTAGTAATGGGGGACAGGGCATGTTCCTTACATAGGATGAGGGATGCTTTCTATGATAGTAGAAGCCATGAATCTCTCCCCAGCAACAAAGATTGGGGACTGCTACAGGAAGAACTTAAAAGCTAAACTCTGTTTCTTCTATATTCTCACTTTAAATCATTTGGCCCAAACAAACCATTTCCTTTACCAATTGCTGCAGTCACTGAGTTTCAGAAGCAATACAGGACTTCTATTCACCACCAGAATAAAAATGGAGTCTGGCTGAGCACTGCTCAGCCATTCACAGGAAGCCTTGTATTTTTATAAACTATTTCAAAGCTTCCCCTGATTGGGGGCTTTCCATCTGCCTGCCTCTCCACCTCAGCCAGACTGTTCCTGGAACATAGTTGTGTATACTGTATGTACCTGATGCTACAAATAGTTTATACAGCACTGACAACGACCATAATCAATCAGTAAAGGAAATTGGCTGAAACTAATTATTTAAAGTGAAATTAAACAGAGTTAGGCTTTAAAAGCATAAAAAAAGAAATGTTCCCCCTAATGACTGAGGATTTTTCCTGCAGTTTTCATAGGCTAGCTCAATGCTTATTTCTATAACTGAAGAATTCCAGTAACAAGCATGGTATATCATGTATGCAAAACAGTTTTATTGAAAGCAGTAAATGGTGTAGAAAGACATACGGTAGAAGAGCCTCTCACACAGTGGTAATCTGAGGAAGGAGGATGACACTGCACCAGTACAATACCTGCCTCCCCACTTCCATGTAACTGCCAGCTGTAACATACAGGCCTGAGACAGAAAAAGTAAGAAGAGGAGGAGACCTGGTTGGCACAGGCTTCCACTATCAAGTACCAGCAACATGAAGGGGCTTTCCATCACAGACGCAGGCAGAAGGTCCAGGCCCGGTCACATCAGATACACAGTGGTCACAAGTAAAGCTCCACTTATACAAGACGCCTCCTTTTAGTATCCCGTTCAGGGTTTTCTTCCACTTCATCCTCTCCCAGAGGGGAAACCAAATTGAGAAGAGGGTCCTCGGAGGCACGACCAAACAGGGATAGGAGTAATGCCACCCCAAAACCTGTGGCCCTCTCCCCCTGCATGAAGTAAAGAAGAGAGAGTCACTAGAGTGAAGCAAACAGCCAAATTAAGGGTCTGCATAGGTGGGCTTTGGATTCTTATACAAACCTACGGGAATGTAAGCCCCACTTTATGGAAGCCAACCACAGGTCACACTGTGATTTTAGAAGGTCTACAATGAGGGTCTGTTTCTAGAACTCTGCAATGGGTCATATTACAACAGGGGTTACATGAAAAGTCGGCTGGTGCTGGCTAATGGCAGAATAGTAGATCTACAAAAACAAGGTGGCATGCGTCCTAGTAGAGCCCCCCTGACAAAGCACACTGGGCAGGTCCAATAGTCCCAATAGGATATCCCTACCAGAAAGCATCTTGCAGCTCAATGTCAACAAGAGTGTGACAGACTGCAGATATCTGCATAGTATTGAGACCGCTCCCTATATGTAAGCGAGCTGCATGGTTTTAAATTCTACATTTAATAAACAGATTGATCTCTTTAGTAGTTAAAAATAAATGCAAAAAAGCAATTTTAAAAAAAGGGTCCTACTTTTTTTGGGGCAATTGCTAATTGAAAGGTGAATATTTAACTAAGGAGGAACTGTGTGTTGTCACTTTTGAAGTTCTACGATACAAGGAGATAGACTATAGGCACTTTTTCACTTCATGTGAATTCTGAATACAGCATGTTATTTAAGGTGAGGTAGTTTTACACAATTTCAGATGACTTATTTGAAGCAAGATGATACTTTTGTACTTTACTTTTTACAAAGTCCCACATGACAGGTTTCCATTAAGCAACAACTTGAAGTTGTAACAGTCGCCCCGTCCTCACCATAAACCTATGCCAAAGACTCTGCAGGCAATGGCAGTATGTTTCTAATAACCGGGTCATGGCTTGTACAGGGGGTATGGCTTCAGTGACAAGTCAGAGGTGCTGGGGCATGAAAGTGTTAAACAATTCTCACTGAAACAGAATGAAATCTGCAGCTGATGATCCATTCATTCGTTTCCTCTTCATAATTTCAGGTTCTTTTGGTTACCCCTGTTGGAAGGGGAGATCAGCACTGTAAACAGTATCATATGATGACTAATCACAGCGATCACATGGTACCCAGGTTGGCTAAGTACAATGCAATGTCTGTGCTGACACAGCAATTACAGGCCAGTCGGCTGCCCAATGGCTATTTATCCAGTACTGTTCATAAAAAAAAAAAATGGCCACTGATCAGCTGTTGATGTACTGTGGTACAAAAGTGCTTAACCATGTAACCACTTCTCTGTAGCATACCATAATGAACATCTATAAACCACAGGAAAGAAAAACAAAAAAAAGGAGAGTGGAGCTCCAACAGCTTTCTGTTCAGTGTTAAGGGGATGGAACCAGCAGAGACTTTTTGGTAAATATTAGGCATGCTTTTTGCTGTACAGTTGGATGGAAGAAGGGACAGCCAACACATTTGAAAACAACATCCTGCTATTCTATTCCATACAAGTGGTTTCATTTTTAACAGCAGCCCGAATAAACCACAAGATGTCAATATTATGTTCTACACAGGTCTATAAAAGGAGGAGTTGTTTTGGGGAGGATGTAGGAAATGGAAATACAACTGACCGCATGAACAGGAGATGCGATGTCCACATGAACCCAGACTCCTGGCCAGTCAAAGCCAATATGAGAGGCAATGAAAAGCCCAGCACAAGAACTCTGGGCGTTCTCCCGGTCCTGCAGTAGACAATAAATGTGTAAAATGTATAGAAAAAGGGCATTTTTTTTTTTAGGATCTTCTACCTATTGTCATTTCATCACTTACTGCCACAGAGTTCTTCATGTCTGCCACAGCAGAGGAGAATTCATTAAAGTGCAGCTCAGGGCAGTACACTAACGGGTGGACCAGGTCTCCACATTTCCTGCCCGCCTTCACACAGGCCATCTCCCACTCCTCATTGTTGGTTAGTACAGCAGCATGGTATTTACCGGTAGCAATTCCCTAAAAAGGTGGGAACAGGACAGAAGTGTAGAGAATTATTAACAGAGCTCAGAAAAGACATCTTTACAAATACAAGAGACTACAGGAAGTGGTGAAGATCAGGTGCCATCAGTTTTAAATGCCCACCACCCAAAACTCATCTTTTCAGAAGTGTATATTGCCAACATATAATTTACCTAAAATTTAAAAAAACAAAAACTACTAATTTCGATTACGCAACCCATCTACCAGTTTTACCTCTACTTCTAGATCAGAGGCGTCCAATCCATGGCTCCAGAGAGTTTAGCATGCAGCCCTGAGCCTGTTTGGAGGGACACCTGGGATGCCATGCAAGCACAGCAGCTGACACAGACAAGCCCTTCTGTAGAGACACTGGAGATGCCATGCAAACACAACAGCTTCCTACATTGAAAAGCCAGGCAAATGCACGGCTGGAGGGATGCTGGGGCTGCCATGTTTGCAATAGAAGCAGCAGCAGGGAAGTAAATGCTGCATGGTTGGATCTAAGGGAGTGCTGGAGTTTCCACTGCACCACCGCAAAGACCCCACAGCACATACGTGTGCTACATTCACACCGGGGATTAGGTCCAGTGCATATTGAAGCAGCAGGTCCTCCTGCAGCTCTAGACTGTGGCTGCCAACTTTGATCGCTATAATAACAGTTTGCTGGCAGCCACACACCAATTTGCGGCTCTCTACACAGCTAGCGACTGCCTGTGGTGAACATGGCATGTGGGAGATAGGAGAGATTATCTTATCCCGATCCACAATTTTTTTTTTTTTTGGTTTGCCAGTATCCCACCCCCGTATGCAGCGGTAACCCAAAAGATTCATAACTCCTGTGTCTGTAACCTCCTAGTACACAAACAAAAACACACGCATGCTGGGCTGGCCTACAGTTTTTTGTTTGCCACTGTCCTAACGCTCTGTGGGCAGCAGGATAACCTGACAAAATATGACTTCCCATCACTTCCTGTCCTGTAGAGTCAACTGGAAGTGAGACAATATTTCGTCAATGTAAGGGAAATTTCCTCTTTTAGACAGTTTTCCTGGTAAAAGATGTCCCCACTGGCAGATTTCCCTTACATTCCTGTTATGGTGGTAATTAGAAATTTTGGATTTACTCTCTCAGGCCTGTAGACGTCAATTAACAAGAATTTGAAAAGTAAAAAAAACACAGAATAAATGCCTGACAGATGTTTTAACCCTTCATATAAAAGAACAAAAACCACACTGCCTTTAGTAATACTTTAGCCTCATTTATTTTTGCTGGGTTCAGTCTCACCTGAGCCCCAGTCAAGGTTGCCATATCCAGAATGATATCTGCGTTCAGATCCTTGCAAGCATAAGAGACGCCATCAGCTAGAACCAATCTTCCCTCAGCATCAGTGTTGTTTATTTCAACCGTTCTGCAGGACAAAGGAGGACAAGGACAATAAAACATGGAATACTGTTGCAGTGCAGCGCCTTCTCACAATCAACAGACCTTTTAGTCTACTTTAAGCTGTGCTGTATTGCCATGTGAGTGGGAAGAGAATTAACCCCTTTGTGCCAGCGCCTCCTGGCCTTTAAGGGTTTCAGAAGTCGGGAGTGGGGTTTAAGGGTCATGTGACCACCATGATTCGCGGTCACATGATCAGGAAAGGTCCCGATCAAAAGGGGAGATCGGGACCTTTGAGTACTAGATGTGTGCTGGGAGCGCGCAGGGCGCGTGCTCTCAGCACATTTTTTTTTTTTTTTTTTAATTGCACGCAAATGTGCGGCCACTCAGTGTAAAGGCCCAGATGCCGAGAGGACACACATTAGCGTGCACTTGGTGTTAAGAGATTAAAGAAAACCTGTCATTGAGCTCAGTACTTCGAGTCCAAGTAAGGCAAGTCATAGAGAAGTGAGACATCCAGCATACCTATGCCAAGGTCAAGAATTCAAAATATTAAAGGTTCCATGTTTCTTACACGACAGGTTCACATTAAGTTTTGCTTGTCCCTGTAGTAAGCCTCACCCACCATTACCAACACACAGCTCTACAAGTGTGTGGAGCTTCCCAGTGTGGGTCCGTCGCACAGAGCCTGGTTTTACCCCGGCGCTGACCTTCTTTCTCGGCATGGTAAGCTATCCACAAGCTGCCATTGAACTTACTTCCCAGAGTAGAGTAGATGAATGTCATCAGGTCGTGTTGCATTTGGTCCAACAGAGTTCTCTGCCAAGCAAAACAAGGCATGGAGATTGTCTTTAAAGCCCTGTAATGGTAGAGCAGACACAGGAATTGATATCATTATTGTGTTTACATTTCCTGCCCAATCAGTTACACAGAAAGGAAAACCCATCACAGTAAAGGCAATGACACATGGGCACTGTTCTGTCCTCACACTGTCAGAAATCAGAATCATCTGTCAGTTTTGCAGATAAACTCCAATTTCATTCCCAATAGTCAGACTACAGCCAACAGCAGGGAGAAGTAAAGTACACCTGTAGTCCTGAAAAGACAACACCAGCGAGGAAGGGGAGGTATTTTGAAAATTACAAAAAGTTGTAGCAGACACACAGGACTGAAGACCAGAACCCTGCCACTTCCAAAATCCACTGAAACCTTTTCGACTGTGGTGGAACCAACATCAACCATGACGATGGAGTAACCAATCAGAATACAAGTGCACAGCCCATTAGCTGCGAAGGGTTACAGAAGAGTTAATTTAATAAGGCAACAAGAAAAGATATAGCAGTGAAGACTGATTCGGCCAAATATGACCAGATTCTGCACCAAGACTTCAAACATTTCTAAGCACTTTATTTTTTGATTAAACAACATGACCACTTGATGCATCAGATCACAGATACAAGCTTGTCTTTGAACCATTTATTGCATGGGCAGCATAAGGCAGATTTTCTGAATACTCAGGACTATGAATGGACAAAGATGGCAGAGACCTCACTAAGAACAAAGGGCTTGTCCTATCAAATCTAATGTGTGTCGGGATTTGCCACCTTTCCAGGTGATCACATCAGCACAAGTCTGACATAAAATGTTCTGTTTAAGCCACTCGAGAAAAGAGTTCTCCAGTATGCTGGATAATCTGTAACCTACAATGACTGAAGATGTCATCATAAGATGCAGCCAGATAACTGCAAGAGATTCTTAAAATCAGGAACACAGCTAATTTATATGGAGTCATCTATGGGCAGCGTACATTGAGTGTTTTTACCTGCTTCACTGCAGCTTTAAATGCCCCCAGGACTGCTGCAGCTCCACCGCAATCTCTCTTCATACCAGGCATTGTGGTCTGTCATATAAAAAGGAAAAAGACATTCACATTTGGTCACATTACATCTCACTACAACAATATAAATGTATCTAGTACAGCGCTGACAACAGTCTTAAAGTGGTAATAAACACACAGGAAGGATATTTATGACAGAAGACAGACCTATTGGTCTCTTGTCAAATAGCTTTCCTCTGCCCGTCAACTGTAATGTACACTCACGTGGTGATGAGACTCCTGTACACATGCGTGGCCCGGCCATTTGAGCAGCCGGAGGCAGAAACTGAATGAAAAGACTAGGTGAAGATGTCATTTCCTGTTTGTGCAAATGGCTGTCTGATTTTCCCAGAGGAAATCCCTGAAAATTAAGGGAATTCCTTGGGGACCCCCCAGGTCACCAGAACTAGAGTCCCCATTGGAAGATTTCCCCTCTACTACTTTTCTGGGGACAACCCAAAATTTGGGGTTTCTTTTACTTTCAATGATAATGGTAAACAGAAGTAGAGAGAGGGTGAATCATCCTAACGGGAGCACAGACGGCAGTAAAACCGGACAGGTGTTCTAACCCATCTGCACTCTATCCAAAACTTGAAAAAAAAAAAAAAAAAAAGTTTTGCCTTTAGTTATACTTAAGTGTGGCTCATTCAAATGAATTGGTTGCCAATGTACT